CTCTGCTTGCCGTATTTCTCACAGCAAGTGTCACGTTTGACTCCCAAATCCACTATAATTTTATAAACAATACTGTTTTTGTGTGAAGGAATGTAGTTTTTTAGGGGATAATGTAGTTGTTTAGACTTAGAGAATGTCTATTTGAAAATTTGCTTCAACGTTTTTGGAGATGTGAGCTCCGGGGCGTCAGCGGCCGTTCAGCGCTCATGAACCCACCGAGAGCAGCCTCACCTCGGCCAGATCTTCTGGAATTTGCCACAGACTCTGATGTCTCTATAGTGCAGGGGTGTCCAACTCTGCTCCTGGAGAGCTACCATCCTGCAAATTTAAGCTCTAACCCCAATCAAACACACCTGAACCAGCTAATCAAGGTGTTCAGGGTTGCTTGATAATTACAGACAGGTGTGCTGGAGCAGGGTTGGACACCCCTGCTATAGTGGTTAAACATGAGATATAATTCATTTTGGGCAGTTAATCTTTGGTCTCATTAATCTATTATTTGTTCCAGAGCAAACAGTTTTGGCTGAGGGCAAAGTCTCATAGCGTTATATTTTATATAATTTTTATGCTTATATCAGAGCACTGCCTTAGTACTTTTGACTGAATTCCCAAGCAACTTTTCTGATGGCTGTTGTTGTTGTTGTTTATTAAATATTTTTACTCAATAAATAATATTTGTTATAAATAATAGTAGTATTTATTAGTATTTAGTATTGAGAAATGGTACGTGTTCATGACGGTGATTTTAGTTACATTATTTCTCCATTAGATGGCGAGAAGAGGCTGTTTTTCTGAGTGAGTCAGCAGTAAAGACTTTTATATTGAAAGAGACTGAAACAGGGTTGTTAACAAGGACGTTATTTTTACTTTCAACAACAGCTTGTAAGACGCAGCCAACAAATGTGAGCAGCGCTGTCACCTGAAATGAAAGGATAGTATGACAAAGATATTCCTTTCCTCAGCGGACATTCACACTAATGTTTTATTGTGAATATGAGATTGAGCTGAAGAATGAAGGCTATATCAGATGCTGGTAATCTTTTTTATTTATGCACTTGTGCCATCACACTTGTATAAACGCAAAAATCACACTTGTAGCCATGTGACATGGCTCTATAAACATGTGGTATCACTCATGTATATAACTTTATGTCTTTGCATAATAATAATTATACAAATTATATCAATAATACAATTATTATTCTTATCAAGTAAAAGTATCATAGTTCATGTCATGTAACAAATAAAAAGTTAAATATTCCATGTAATTTCTCAATTAATATGTGGTCTTAAAAACAACACATTATTATTATTATTATTATATATGATTTTATTACACAGTATATAACTAAATTTGCATTAAAATATTACATAAATAATTAATAAAAATCATAATTTAAAAAATCATGTATCACACTGTTTCATATCAACTACCCACTGGCATGCCTAAAAAATAGCTGATATGTGATGCTGCACATATTGTCCATTGTATTTTCTGTCTATTGTGTATTTGTATGTATAAATTCCTTGTGTGTAAGCATACTGTCCAATAATTCTAATTCTGATTAAATGGATGGTTGTTTCTTGTAATTATAATATAACAATATAACAATATATATATATA